TCCCTCCAAAGACGAGGACTCTTAGCTGGAGTCAGGCCTGACTGAGCGAGGGGAGAGCAACAAACCCGCACGTTTGCAGGCGCTGGTAAAGAGGCGGGAGGGGATGTGAGTGCTCACACACACACACAGCTCTCACAAACACACGCTTGTCCACCTTGGCCTCTCTCGCCTGCGCCCAGCCCTGACAGCTGCCTGACAACAGATGCACAGCTTCGATGATTTAGAACGGCAATTTTTGTCTTCTGCGGGTTGTAAATTTAATAGAGGAAATATGCTCTTGCGGTTAAAAGCACAAGACTGGAAATCAAGTGATCTGTGCTCTGTTGCAGTTACCGGTGTTGCAGTCTGATGTGACTTTAAGGTAATTGATATTTTGCAGGGAAATGAGGTAGGGCAGGACKAACTGAGTAGTAGAGTTGAATATATTACTGAATCGGTTCAGTAATAGTTGTTGAATCTTTTGGTGGAATAGATAGGGATTTAGTAGTTCTATGCAGTGAATCACTTGGGCTCGTTGCTTTAACAAATCCTCCAAGGAATAACTGTCAAAATTTGCATCAGCAAAGTTTTGTCTGTCATGGGAAATTAGATTGTCAGTATGTGATGGTTTTAGATGAAATCTCTTGCTGGTTTTCATTCCTTTGTTATTTTCAGATAATTAACCTTTTGTGGGTGGCTTTAAAATACTGAAAACCGAAATGAGCGTTGTTCATTGCATGTGTCAGTTACTGAAATTCTGCAGGAATATCCTCCTGGTATTCTGAGGAATCACAATTTGATTGGAGTAAAGAAAAGGGTGCAAACATATGCAGTCATATGCCTGTGCTCATCAAAACCTGTAATGCTTTATGAAGTTGGCAGCTAGTGGTAGTGGAAGTTAATAGAAGCAGCAAATAACTTAATTGAAGATGTTTCATAATTAGTGTGTTGTAACTTTTGAGAGTGGCCTGTGTTGGATTTAATGTCTTAATCCCTACCGTTTGATAGTGGTTTACTCTTCCTCTGATATTAAAATTTTGTTCACTTGGCCTTGAAATTGGTGCTAAGTGCCTAATGCCACTTAATTGTGCAAAACAAAACCCCCAACAAACCATGTGCTTGCTGGGATATCTGCCTTTTTCAAACCTTTATTTTCCTTTCAAATGTGGAGGACGTATATATGAAGGAGGAATTTTCACTTTTTCTGAAGACGGCTTTCGTAATGGAAGCCCAGGTGGACAATCTTYATGGGGCTGAGAAATGGGAAAGAAGGTAGAGAGGCTTCCTCTGCATTTTTCTCATGATGACAAAAGATCACAGGGTGTGCTGCTGTSTACAGCTGTGGTGGGTGGGGTTTTTTGAGGTTTGGAGTTTAACCACTGATGGAACTTGAAGGAACTGTAATTGTGGACCCTGCAGTATTTGGTACTTGGTAGGAAGTCAGATTTTTAATCTTGCACCTGGAGTGGGTGATCTTTGCAGAGTTTTGGTGATCATAGAATATTATTTGAGCTGGAAAAATTTCTGTTTCCCAAGATGGACTGCTCATGCTCAAATAAGGAATTTCRTGTTTATTTGAATTATGTTGTGATCTTTAATATTTTGGAAGATATTTTTAATTACAGAAAGCTGTATTCAATATTTTCTTTACAGAGGTCTTAAGAAAATGCTAAGAACTCTTTTATGGCTCTTGGCTGAATAACATACCTGCAGAAATACTTCTGAGGCAATTCAGTGCAAGTCCCTGTGTCTTCCTTTCCTTCCAGTTAAGGCCTTCTTGATTCTTTTAATGTTTGGGGTTTTTTTTAATTAAAGTACAGGTTTCTTCAAATGTGTCTGTTAGACTTGGTGGAATGAATTTTAATCTGTTAATGTTTCTTTAAAGATGTTTACRTGATKTTTTTTTTGTAACAGGTAAGGAGCTCGTGCTCAGAATGAGATTTGTTCTTGTGTGAGCTGAGCGCACTTGAGATACCTTCATGGCTAACGATAAACAGCTCATTAAAAGCAATTYGAACAGTAATTTAACACTTTTTGCAGTTATCATTAGTCACAGTGCAAGTTCCTGCAGTGTTTTCTGGAAGCCTTTTTAGCCRTGTTCCTGTGACCACGTAGAAAAGTTTGGCTGGCACTTGAGCGCGCTTGACCAGCGTGGGTTGGCAAGGTGCAGGGCGCTGCCTGCCAAGTCTGTATCCCTACTGACCTACCACCAAGGTTGAGCCTGCCAGCACTGTCATCCCTGACAGAGGATCTTTGTCAGGATCCCTGCTACTGATACACCAGCTATGAAGTAGTGTCTCTGAATTCTGGGTCAGTGGATGTCACAAACTGACAAATTTAGAATACTTTGTCATTCATTCATTCTGTGCAAGGGGAAAAAAAAAGCTCGCTGAATTACTATTGTCAGTGTTCCCTCCAATCCTGTAGCTTTTGTAAACTTGTCACAGGATTAAYGCAATTCAGTTGGGGTGGAAGTGTATATACACACATACATCTTTTTCTTCTTTTAAAGCTTTTTGAGCGTCCCATTTTCCAGGTTATGCTTTTTGTTGCCAACTTAAAGCATTTAAAATCCTTTTCTTTAATGAGGGTCTTGCACGTGAGCATCTRTATTTTTAGAAGGCTTTGTCCAACTTGTTAATTTTATAGCATACTTTAGGGTTTGTGAAAAGTACAAGATGCCCTTTATTTTCCCATTTTTGTTTCCAAGTGTAGTACTGAGGTCATTCCTAATCACCCACTTGCTTGTCCATGTCTACCAGCCTACCAATCGAAGCATAGGCCTTTGTTTTCATGTTTAGTGAAATGTAGCAGTGCTTTTCTCTGGAATTTTAATTAAGAAATGGATTCTAAGTTGTAGTTATCTKCATTGGTTAGAGTAGATCTTAAATAACATTAAAAACATGAGGCAGTTTCATATCTGACTACTGTTGATGATGGCATTTTCCAGCATAATGCTTCTGATGGAAAGTGCCAGTTAGCTGTAATAGAAGTGTGAGAAAATTTGCAGTTCTGACAAAATACTTAAGGGAGACAGGTTTTGCTTCTAAGATGAAATTTGTAGTTTTGAGAATTTCTRCAAAACTAATTGCTCAGTAATTAGAGAAGCTGCAGAGATCAGGGCCATAGGAGCACTGGATTTTTTTCTTGTAAGTGTGGATGCTTCAAGAAATAGATACTACTTTTTTAGGCATGGGAAATTCTGGTGTTTTCTTCCTTCCTCTCCCCCTGTATCAGAGTTCAACTCAAATTTTGCCATGATGCCTAACAAAATCCAAACAGTTCTTTGATTGTAACATTTCCGAGCTTTTRTTGGCATCAGATGGAAGTGAGGGTGCTTTGGAAATGAAGTGAAGCTCAATTAGTGATCTGTTTGCCTGGACCTCTTTTGTGATATAAATCATTATCACTGCTATTATTTTTTTGACAGTAATTCTGGAGAAGACGTTAAGAAAAAAACAGAAGCATCACTTTGCTATCTGAGTTATATCTTCCATGTACATTGTATTAATTGCTGCTCATGCTTTGCCTCAGAGTTTGTTAGGTTTCTTTTAAGAGACTGCTAGTTAAATACTTCTCAGCTGACAGAGCTAAATGCTTTAATATTTTTTTGAGCTGTGTTAGATGGTGTACAGATGTGGAAATTAAAAGCAAAAGTATTGTGTGAGGAAGCCTTGTCTGCAATTGTCACTATATTTTTCTGTTTTGAGCACCGTCACAGYAGGAGTTTTGAAGATACCAGACAGTTCTTTTCTGTTGTTTACATTTATTATCAGTTAGATTATATTGCCTTACAAGGCATGTTTGAAGCAAGAGATCTAGCATTAGTGAAAAAAACACCATAGATTTTGGTCAACTGGATATACATTTGTATCTGCAAACCCAGTTCTGATGAAAATACCATAAGTTCATTTTYGATATTATTTATAAAATCTCTTTCTTCCTTTACTTAAATTTAAGGGGAGAAGGGGGGGAAAAAAGTTTTATCATTGGTGGTATTCTTTGAGTCTGAGGTGTTGCACAGGGTAATTGAAGAGAAACCTTTTCTGTGGAGAGGCTGTGGCAATGGTCTGTAGCATGTAGGCCCCTCAAGTTTATCAAACAAGTTTTGTATCATCTTAGGATTTGTTTTTTGCTTGATGTGTRTGGAGAAACTGTGGAGCTAACATTTCTCCTCTATTTGTTCTCAGGAAAAGTCTCTGATGTGCATGGGACTGTATACTGGGCTGCAGCGTAAGCTCTGGACTTGAGAAAATGATAATAAAACCCGAGCACAATCCTGCACAGTTCCTGTCAGGAAATTTATAAGGAAAGAAGGATTTTAATAAAACCAGGTGAAATTGATGTGTGAGGYTGTAGTTTTAAAGAAAGTATTGATCTCTGTATATAGCATAATACACTGTAATATACTGCAGTTTAATTTCTGAGCTTTCTGTATGAATATGTAGTATATTAATGTGTGTATGGAGTCAAAATACTTGAGAATTTTGGAGTTTGAAGGGCAATAAAGTTAAGCACAAGAGCTGACTGCAGAGCRGTTTTAACTGCAGATCTGCAGCAGCTCTAATGAACTCCCAGTTGTTGCTGGTTATAAGTGGTGCTTTGTTTATTGTATGAAATTGAGTCTCAAAACAGCTTCTAATCATTGGCAGTGAAGTTCCTTGTTCCAGAGTGGCTATGATGCTACAGGAGGCTTCCTGAATTTGCAAACAAGTAAATTAGTGGGAAGACAATAGTGCTTGTACAATTGGACACAGGCTTAATAATGGCAGTAGGAAGGTATGAGGRTTATGTTGGTTTTACTCATTTTACTCTTTTTCTTGTGGAAGCATCATGCACTGCCCAGCTGCTTGGGATGATGGTTTGCTTGGTTAATGGTACGTCAAACGTAGGTTTTGCATGTGGGAAATTAGTTTGGTATCAGTGAGAGAGCACCTTACATAAATGGTGCATCTCAGGAAAGTAGATACACCATAGGTAATGTTACATTGTCTGTTCTTCAGGGAGTCTTGCTCAGGCCTTTTTAGCCAGAAGGAGATTCTTTGGTGTAGCTTCAAATGAATCTACTGAACTTGCCAGTTTGCTGTATTAGGCTAAGCAAATTTCACAAGAACTGCTRAAAGGAAGTCAAATTGCTGAGTATTTTTGATGGCAGATGGAAGGTGGTGTATTTCTGCCATCTGCATAAATGAAATATAAGTCGTGTTGTTGGCCAGCTCTGTTTATATCTGGCTGGCTGGCTGAAGTATTAGGGAGGGGGTTCAAACAATGGACCTGTTCACCCAACTGGTTTCCTTCCATTTGCTGGAGTCATTAGCAAGAACTTTAAAAGTATAAATAATGCATGCCCCAAAGTCTAATTTTGATACAGCGATTATTCCCTTTTATACTTGCCCATTAAAATCCCCCTCATGCTACTCCATGTAATTCATTGCACTCACCCCTTAAAGAGTGTTTGTAACTGTTTTGTTTTGTTTTTTTTAATGTAATAGCATGGTTTTCAGTTGATATTTTCTTGTAGCGCAGCTGAAAAGTTATTTAATGAAAGAAGGTAATGCATAATAGACCGTCTGCCTTAAGGAAATTTAAATAAGCTTTTTTCCCCATGAAAGTTATTACCAGCTGTGTCTAGAGGTGCAGCAATATGAGTAATTTGTGCAGCACTGAATGAAAATGTGACTCTTTAAAGCATTTGTTTCTGTATTTAAAGCTCAGTGATGCTCTGTGGTGCTGCAATCACAGCTCATAACTTGTGCTTTTAAGCCCTGAAGAAATTGATTGTAAGTACAGATGATCTGGGGAAGCTGTTCATGGCAGATGTCATMGTTACTTAGAAACCTTTCGAAAATTAGATGCTGAGATTACAGCAAATGCAAGTAAATGTTCTAAATGTGGTTTATACCACACATTCAGAAATCTGAAAACCCTACATGAATTGCAGTTTCTACATGGAAATGTTTGGTGTCTGCATAAATATCAGAACCTACTGCTTTATGTCCTTAAATAGCTCAGGAAGCCAGCTCWCAAATCATGAAGCTTTTCAATTCTACCTTGTTTTCTTAAGAAAAGGCAAAAGCTGTAAACCTGCAAAGTTTTGCCTTCCCGAATGAACTTTTTGACGCTTCGTAATGAGATCAATTCTGTGTCATTTGTACATCTCAAAGCCTATATTTTGTTGCAGGGTTACTTTCTTGCCTTGCTTTTCTTGAACAGGTTAAAACATACTTCTTCTGTAGAGTCTTGAAAGCCTCATGGGTGGCCAGAATGGAGTTAYAGCAAATGTTATTGAGGTTTTAAACTTCAACAGTCTCGTTTTTCAGGGGTTATAGTTACAAGTTMTAAATGTGGAAACTTTTTGAAGAAGTTGAAATAGTTTGAAATCTGTTCTGATGCTTCTAAAATACTTGTTTTACCAGGCTTTGCTTTTGTTGAYGGGCCCTCAGACAAATGTAAAGTTTTTAGAGTTAAGTATGTTACTCCAAGCAGATTATTTCTCAAATCATAGTTTCTAGGACAGTCATTTATCATAATTCCCTTGACACTTGCCCTACAAATACTAGTTGCTGCAAAATATCATCTTAGAAGAACTGTTCCAACTTCCTTTCCTTTYAGTGSAGCTTGTTYATTCCATGAGCATACTTGTGGGTAAATGATGTTGAAATTATATAAAASCAATAAAATATCTTCCCTTGTTGATGCATGTTGTTCAAAATACTAAAAATGAAATTTTGCATGATCATAGCATGGAATTGTAGATCTTTAAATTCAAGTTCTTAATACAGATGAAGCTCCTGTAATGGGATAGATCAGTGACCGTTTCTTAAGATCTCCCTTGAGCTCAGCTTAACCAGAGGAATTTCCAGTGCATCTTCTGCCTTGATGATGCTTAAGGTTCTTTGAAAGCATAGCTGAGAAACAAAAATAGAACTTTTTAATTGTCTTCTGGTCTGAGATTCTAGGTGGGTTCATTTCCTTTGCTAGGGGTGTGAGCAGTTGCTGATCTTGCAGCTATTGTATGTATGCATGGCTTGAAAGTAAGTTAGTTGCAACTATAAACAGCTTTTACTTTTTAAAACAGTAAACTTTTATCCTTAGTAAAAGAAAAAATTCAGTCTGAGTTTCTGGCCAAGTTTATCTCCCTTTATGTATTTCCTGTTACTTTGAAGGGTGCAAAGGTTCTCATGTGTAATAGTCCTAGGGATCTAAATTAAAGTGCAGACATGGTAATATTTCTGAAGAAAAAAGATTACATGTAATTATTTGAGGGTTTTTTCTTTTTTTTTTCTCAATATCTTCTTCTAGAGACTTAACAAAGCAGTGGAGACATCTCTTAATTTCCTTTTTTCCATTTTGTTTTTTTGTTATGCGAGTTCTAGGAAGAAAGATCTTCCAACAGTTTTTCTGTTTGTTTTGCTTTTCTGACTTTTTTTTCCATATTACTGAAACAAAGCTGAATAATCGAAGAGGTACCAATGGGATTAAGCTATTGCATGAAATAATGGATATTTTCCTGTAAAGGAACACCAGGTGTCCCTGGGTTTGTTCCCTGCTTTCCTCACCCTCTAATGCCATAGTGGAAAATACAGGATGGTTACATGTGGGACATAAATGCCTTGCCTGGGGATGTTTGCTGTATCTTTGGTTGATGGTCCTTAGTACATGGTTCTGTTATATCAAAGTATCTGTCCAAGTGCCTGAGTGGGCCTGTAAATGTGGCCAGACAYTTAAAAAGCCTTATCAGATGACTTTTATTTTATCAAAGATGGGAGGAAAAAAGATCCTCTTGATTAAAGGTACAATCTAAGCGAACCAGCACCGAGGTATTTAACATTTTACTTCYCCTCCACCACCTTTTTCTCTTATGTGCAGATTTGGTGTCTCGGGCTAGGGTAGGTGTTCTAATTCACCGTGGTTTATCAAAAGTGGAGAGACGATGTTGTTTGGCAGTCTCTGTAGCAAGAGAGGAAGCATCTTTTGTTATTGACATCCTTTCTCTTAGCTCTGCTCTTGCTTTTTGCCAGCTGCTCATTGTCTATACTTGCTTATTTAGTATTCACAAGGGATTTTACAAGTTCTTATCAGTTCGTTGCCACAGCACATCATTTCCTCTTGTCATCGGTACTCCTTAAATTGCTGGGGGGAGGATTTGCATTGGGTCTGGTGAGTGGTAAAACACCATTCATGAGCGAGTTGTTCTGCTCATCTCCTTTCTGAGGCAGTTYGTAGTAAAGGTCACATTTCTAGTGCTTACTCCACCATGTCTTTTCCCCCCTTGTTTTTTCTGGGGAGAAGAAAACAACTTTTTTTTTTTGGCCAAGGCTAAAAATATCCAGCTCTTCAAAATTCTTCTTAAAAGATATAAGGAAGTGCAGCATAAAATTAGCTACAGCTAAAAAAAGGTTGACCACCTAACCTCTTTGAGTGTCTAGGGAAGGTTTGGTTTGTGCTTTTATTGAGTTTTTCTTTTAATTGTGTTTTGTTTTCTTTAGTTCCAGTTTCTTCCTAATTTTTTTTAATATTCTCGGAAAACATGGGGTAACTAATTAGAGTTCAAGAAAAAGCATATGCTTTAGGATTTTTTCCTTTTTGGAAATAAAAGTCCATTTGAGAAAGCAGAGTACTTCCATGCAGTACTGGTCTTGGAACTGGTGGTTCCAGCCTGCCTCTTCCCTGTTTCTTCATAGCAAGTTTGGCCTTCTAATGAAGTATATTCCTCAAGCTTATCTTCTGAGGGAAAGTTGTCAATTTAAGGAATATTAACAGAAACTGTGTTGTCCCTATCATCCCTTGATGGTCCCTTTTCCCACTAATCAGTAATACAAGATTTGGGGACTCATCACTTTTTTGGCKGAGGTTATAGTACTTCTGGGATTTTGTTTTGAAACCAAATCAGGTGCAATACTGTGTTGAAACAGGGAGTCTTTTAATATTTGCTATTTGTTTTACCACAGCCTTTACTTGTTTGCTAATTCCTGGTTAACTTATCTTTTTTACTAGAACTAAATTGGAGGAATCGATCATCTTTTTTCTTGTGAAGACTTCATCACTGACATCTGTATGCTCCTTTGTCATCCTCCAAGAAATAATACAGCTCATCAGTAGCAACAACTGCTTTGGGTATACACTGACATTTATTGGGAAGAAACAAGTAAATAAACTGAAACCCCCAACAGACAAAGCCCAACAAACTTTTTGAAGACTTGTGTCAAATGACGTCAATGGCCAGTTTGTTCTCCTTTACTAGCCCAGCTGTAAAGCGTCTGTTGGGCTGGAAACAAGGAGATGAAGAGGAAAAATGGGCTGAAAAAGCTGTTGATGCTTTGGTWAAAAAGCTGAAAAAGAAAAAGGGTGCTATGGAAGAGCTGGAGAAAGCCTTGAGCAGTCCAGGACAGCCCAGCAAGTGTGTTACTATCCCCCGCTCTTTAGATGGACGGCTCCAGGTTTCTCACAGAAAAGGCCTTCCCCACGTGATTTACTGTCGTGTTTGGCGCTGGCCTGATCTACAAAGCCATCATGAGTTGAAGCCATTGGATATTTGTGAATTTCCTTTTGGATCGAAGCAAAAGGAAGTCTGCATCAATCCATACCACTACAAGAGGGTGGAGAGCCCAGGTATGTTTGAAAGTTACTGTCCTAAAACCAGAACAGAATCTTTAGTAATCATATACTATTCAGTCCATGTTCCTCCCATACTGTACAACCAATTAAAAGTGGTGTATGAGGCAGTTTGAGAGAGGAATGTTGAAAGTCTCTATTACTGGTGGGATTTTGGGGAGATGTGTTGTGCATAATCTACTAGCTGTTTTTGTGATTAATCACCTTTTTCCCACAGACCTCWTAAGCCTGCTGTCCTTAAAGTTAGTAGGAAAGTCCTCTTTTGTCATTAAATAGAAAGCAGYGATGCTTTCAGTTTCAGTTTCTTTGAGAAACTGGTTTCAAAATCTCAGTCCTTGCAAGGAGGTTGGCGGCTGCCTTTCAGGGACTTGATGTTTAATGAGTCTGTGACATGAATTGAGGAGATAAAAAAGAAAATAAATAGAATTCTAGGATGGTAGAGTTCCCCACATGACTTCCAATTAGCAGAAGCAGAGATTAATTGAATGATGAATTGAACCAAGAGACATGATCAGTTAGTGCAAGGAATGTGTCAGATTTGTGTCAGGTAATGAACCTACTATTAAAGGTGTGCTGCCATAGGAAAAGGKGAGCAGGATTGGGATTGCAGGTGGGAGAGATGAAGAACGTTGCTCGGGACAGTGTGGTGAGAAGTTGCTTCCCTTGCTCCCCAAAGTGGTTTTAACTCTACTGCAACCGACTGTATGTGATTGCATTCTTCAGTATGTGCCACATGTAGACTGGTTTAGTTTAGTGKTTTTTTAARAAAAAGGTCATCTTCAAGTTGCRTGAAATATATGGGTGTTTTTGTCATTTTTGCAAGAGTGAAGTCTGAGTCTTCCATCAAGCATGATGTTAAAAAATAAAGGAGAGTGGATGGGATAAAGGCATGCCGGATCAATCCCCCTGCACCTCTTTCGATCCCAGCTAGTGTTGAAATTATCATGATGAGCTGGATAGCACAGTATTTGTATCTCTTTCCTTTTATCTCAGTTTCTAATCTAAATATATCTGTTTATGTTTTTTTCAGTTCTACCTCCAGTGTTAGTGCCTAGACATAGCGAATTCAACCCCCAGCACAGTTTGCTAGTTCAGTTCCGGAACCTCAGCCACAACGAGCCCCACATGCCACACAACGCCACATTTCCAGACTCCTTCCAGCAGCCCAACAGCACTCCATTCTCCATCTCACCAAACAGCCCCTACCCACCTTCTCCAGCCAGCAGCACTTACCCAAGCTCCCCAGCCAGCTCTGGACCATCGAGTCCCTTTCAGCTGCCAGGTGAGTACRGCCTGAATGTCAGTTTAATTAAAATGATTGAAATGTCACATGTTGTTGTGACCTGTGACCCCAGGAATTCATRGTATTGGCAGTAAATGGCTTTTTCAGTTGCATTTTAAGGGTTCTCTTCCTAGTTTTGTCATTGGTCAGAGTTAGTTGTTACAGTTTTATTTTTCCAAATGTTTTTTGTTGTGGATATAGTACTGGTGAGTTATTTTGCACAGCTTCACTACAGAATAATTGATCCATACTTTAGAAGAATATTTAGCAATGAACAGAAAGCAAATGCAAGAGGCTGAGCAGGAAGTTTATTGATGTCTTTCAGTGAATAAAAACACTTAAATGTGGTGTTTAAGTAGGAAAAAAATTTTGTTAGGAATAGATTGGATTGAACTGATTCTTGATTTTGTTTAACTGATTTGAGTGAAAATATGAAAAAAACAATTGATGGGGACAAATGAAAGAAGTCTTTCTGATTCTGTCTGATTACTGGTTTAGAAAGCCAAGAATTTAATAGATTAAAGATTTTATTTTTCCACTAGCTCAGTGGCCTCATGTTTGTTCTTTCTGGTTGCTCATTTCCTCAGGAAGTGTGCCAGTGGGTGTCCCTGTTGGCCAAGTACTGGGATCACTGGGGTGGATGCATTTATGGGGCATAGTGGGGTGTTGGCACTCTGAATGCTGTGCTGATGGAAGAAAACAGATCCACACTTCTGTAATGAACTCAGCCCACAGGAGCAGCAAAAAAAAAAAAACAAACCTGCTCTAGGCCCTTGTTATGCTAAGCAAATAGTTATTTCTTCTGCTGCTTTATTTTTGAACATGGAGAAGAGGGTAGGCAAGAAAGCTCATGTTTGTATTACAGAAAGAAGGAAACAAAGTCATTTTGCCCAACTACAGGAGTGCATGTATTAAAGAAAAAAAAAAAGCAGAAAGGTCTGGTCTCTTTTTTTTTTTTTTTTTAGTTTCCAATCTTGTTACTAGTCCCATAGGTAAAACTTCAGCTATTGAAGGAGTTTACTGTAAAGACAGCTGGCTGGGTTCAGATTTCTTTGAAAATGGGTCCAAATTTTTAATATGCTTCTCAAGGAATATTTTTTTGTGTTTATGACCATAGAATGAATAAGTAAATACTCTAAATTGTTGAGGTTTATCCTTATTTTTTCATGTTTGTAGCTGATACTCCACCTCCTGCATATATGCCCCCTGATGATCAAATGGGGCAGGATAATTCGCAGTCTATGGACACAAGCAATACAATGATCCCTCAAATCATGCCAAATATATCTACCAGAGGTAAGTTGTATAGTCTGGTGTAGAATTACATAGTTTGTCTTCTTGCAGCTCATGACCAAACTGAATTAATAACTTCAAATGGGCCAGTAAGTCTTGCTGATAAGTGGAAGCAATCCGCCAAGGTAAACTGGGGCTGTAACAGAGAAAACTGAAAAATAAAACTTGCCTTGCTTGTTTTCATCTTTTCCTTTTAAAGCCTCAGGTGCATAGTGTGGCTTATAGTGAGTTGAACTTTTTTTCATTTGTGCTACTTTTGCCTGGTGCTGGAATTATATGTGCACAAAGGCCCTGAAAATTGAGTCCCAAAATACCAATGATAACAGATCCTTTAAAATCTGGACAGATGAATTATGTTTCACTTGCTGTTACATAGTCTTTTTTTGTGTATGTGTAAGGGATTTTTTGTTTAATATCAGATTCAAAATTGGAAAATATTCATAAAATCAGCAGACTAGCTAAATTGCACTAAGGTCAAAATCATTAAGATCTTGATCTTCTTGTCCATCATAACTAAGATTTTACTTGCCTGTTGTTGTTTTGGAAGGTCTGCTTGACAGTTTTAGATTTAATATTTTAACACCTATGTAAACTCATTTCCATTTGCTTTTCAGATGTGCAGCCCGTTGCCTATGAAGAACCCAAACACTGGTGTTCCATCGTATATTATGAATTAAATAATCGTGTTGGGGAAGCTTTTCATGCATCTTCCACAAGTGTCTTAGTAGATGGGTTTACAGATCCYTCCAATAACAAGAACAGGTTCTGCCTAGGTTTGCTCTCCAATGTCAACCGCAATTCAACGATTGAGAACACTCGACGGCACATTGGCAAAGGTAAAACTGAGTTGTGTCATTCACAAGTGAGAAACCAAGTCCTTGGTTTTATTTCAGCTTCTCTATACTGCAGCAGTGATTATTCTCAGATGAGAATGCTAGAGGTAATCTGAGATGAGATTGTTTTCTGATACTGGAGAGATAGATAATTTAGTTGGGCATGGTTTGATTCTAATTAGTCAGGAATTGCATACATTTTTCTTAGACACTGATTTAAGACTCAATATTAGCTTTCCCTACCGTTGTCATTGGGGCTTGCTTGTTAGGGTAAATGATAAATTTGTAGAGTTCTGTGTTTCAGCACCAAGAAGCACAGCAGGACTCCTGATACTCTACATTTTATCAGCTTCTTAAATCACATTCTTCATACACCTTTGTAGTATGTCAAGGATTTTTTTTTTTTGTTTTGTTGTTGTAACGTATTACCTGCTGTCTACAGTAYGTTCAAATATCTTGGTGAGTTGGCAGCAGGACTTTGAAGTGCAAATGCAAAACTGCAAGGGCTCATTTGTCTGAGTGAATCCATGGGGCGTGGATGTGTGTGGGAGGGATTCCTGGAGACAGCAGGTTTTGCAAGATCTTCTAGTTTTCCTGTGCTGTTTTGGCTGATAGTACATAGAGATGCACAGTTTTCATCTTTGATGGAATGTGCTTGGATTGTCTTAAATTGTAGAACACCTTTTCTGAATATCTTCCTTATTTTGTGATGAGCTCAGTCCTGAGAAGAGACCCCTGTTTCTATTGCACATATTTAGAGGCCTTTTTACTATCTAAGAGCATTTGCTAAAATTGGTCCTGAGTTTTGATTGATGAAAACGCATCCTATYCCAAAAGAGTCTTCTAATTAGAAAYTGYTATAAATATAACAAAAGTGCAGATAATCTGGAGACCAGAAGTTCTGTTTGTATCTGCTGGGAACTTGGCCTTGCAGTGCAGTTGTCCAAAAAAATTATAAATTTATGTTACAAAGGGGAGCAACTGATTTGTAGGGCGTGGGTGGTTTGTCAGGTTCTTTTGTTTTGGCTCACCCCTTTTGATGCTATTGGCAGAGAAATCTTGTGTGTCTGCCTGAGGTCAGAAGTGTAACCAGGACCCATCATCATGGTGTAGAATAGTAATGAGCTTTAAAATGTCTGCATCCCTAATAGTAATTATTGAACCTAAACTCTGCTTTATGGTAACTGTTCTGACAACAATTAAGATTATTTGGGGATAAAATGCTGTTTATTTATGGCTTTTGTTTGAAAGGGCTTGAGGTTTTACCTCCTTAAAACCCAATCATATTTGGTTTGTTTCTGTAGCTGGCAAATGGTGGTCACTGCCTTTTGAAATAAATAGGATTGTGTTATAATAATGCGTTTCTACCTACCCAGATTCTCTGATAGCTGCTTCTAGCTGCAGCCAATGGTTCCTCTATATCCTCCATCCTACCTTAGTCCCAAGTGGATCTAGCAATGTTCTCAACAGTTGCTGCTGTCTGAAAGATTAACTTGGATCTGTTGACTTGCTGCAGCCTCATCTGGCAAACCACAGGAGAGCCTGCAGTGGATTGTCAGGGTATTGCAGGGAAGACTTAAACYGAGCTGAATCCCAGCTGTGTAACARTGGGGTGGGRAGRAAAAGAATACAGGTGTCTTAGTGAAGGAGCAGTGAGAACCTATGTTTTGGTGCTGAAGGGATGGGCATCTTTTGTATATCAATTTTTATTTATTAATTGTGTTGTGTAGGCTTCAGAACATAAAAAAAGATCTGCATAGCTGAATGCAGACAGGTGTGRTAAGTCTAGGGACTTTGTTGATATTCAGGTTTGTCAGCTTTTACCAAAAGCCTGATGGTAATTAAGTTGAGCAACAAATTGGACATAACTGTCCTTCAGCTTGATAAAATGCAGTGAAAATCAGAGCAGACTATGGATACACTTACTCATTCATATCCATCACTGACTCTTCTCCCAGGACACACCTATTTATGTTGCACTTGGCATAGGCAGAAGCTGCCAGGTATATAAAACCATAAATTGTCTGGAAAAATAACTTGAAATAACCGTTGAAATGTGGCAATCATTTTTTCATTCTGTTCTGTAACTGATCAGAGAAGGACATCTAGTGGCTGGTGTATCATGAGCCTACTGGGTAGAAATGAGAAAGTGTGTTTTAGTCATAGCAAAAAGCTTTTCTGAGGAGCTCCTCAGGCAGAAATTTACTTTTTCTTTCAAAAAAAAGTAGGATTTGCAACAACTTCCTCGAAATCAGAGACAAAATAATTTGAAATGCTTTTTTCTTTGTTTTCAAGGAGTTCATCTCTATTACGTTGGTGGAGAAGTCTATGCTGARTGTTTAAGTGATAGCAGCATATTTGTACAGAGCAGGAACTGCAACTACCACCATGGCTTTCATCCAACAACTGTATGCAAGATTCCCAGTGGATGCAGTCTGAAAATTTTTAACAATCAGGAGTTCGCTCAGCTTCTGGCTCAATCTGTCAACCATGGATTYGAAGCAGTGTATGAGCTCACCAAAATGTGCACCATTCGAATGAGTTTTGTAAAGGTAAATTATCTGAGGGTATTTAAGTTTATTGTGGGTTTGGGTACTTAGCAGTAATTCCATTAGCATTGTAGCAAAGCTGTTCCGGCCTGATGTGGTTCTTTTCAATGATAAGTATATTTAAAATGATTAATTAGGGGAGAGAGAAATCAGTGCAAGAAAGGAAAAGCAGAGATTGCTGTGTTGGATGTTGGCTGTGTAATCAGTTACTTCCGTATTCAGGACAGGAATTTATTCATTGTGGTTGCTGTAATTTCGTTAAARGAGATTTAAGTTCATGSTCTAAATTTGAAAGAGCAAAGTGAWTARCAAGTCCACTAAAAGAATRTGAGCAGAAAGGAGCATAATTAATTGGAGAAAGTCTTCAACTTCTTCTATTTTATTATAATTTTTAGAAAAACACTGATTATGGAAAAAATACATGGTCCGAGTTTATGAAGCCAAGCTGTGCTGTTATTCTCACAGGAGCATTTTCTGAGCATTGTTTAATGAAGATGTTGTCTGTCTCAGATTTAGTGTGGAGTCTAAACTTGGACTTTCCAGGTGTTTTGTTTGCATCTTKTCCAAATGCAGTCTTGTTGGTTTTGTCAGTTATGACAAATACTGCTCAGTTTGAGAGTGTGGAGGAGAGGGAGCAGGAGGTTGAAACAGAAGAGGGATGTGGCCAYGGCCAGGAGTCATCCTGGGGTCAGCAGTGAGCTCTACAGGAGGCTGTAGCAGGCAAGACTTGATTCAGGCTTCCAGGTGCAGCTTTCTTCCTGCTCCTTCCCAGTCTTGGGTTTGCTCCTTTATTTGTTCCTTTAGAGAAGTGTTACTAGATTGTGAATTACCTTCAGATGAGTATGTGAATTCATGATTTCCTKCTACTTGTTAGTAAAAGACAAGCAYGTCCTTAAAGTAATTGATACCATTTTGTTCATTTTCTAGGGCTGGGGAGCTGAATATCACCGACAGGATGTCACGAGCACCCCGTGCTGGATAGAAATTCATCTTCATGGGCCCCTCCAGTGGCTGGATAAAGTACTTACACAAATGGGTTCTCCTCTTAATCCCATCTCATCTGTTTCATAGTGCTGAAATTCCATCTTCAGCCTTATTTTTAGCGAACTTATTCTAATTCTAGAGAAACTTCCAGTGGATACTGTGAGCTATATGGAGAATGGATCTTATGATTTAACTTTTTTTTTTTAGATCCCTTTGTGACCAATTCCATTGTGTATAGCTAATCAGTTTTACATTTCAAGTTGTTCTTGTGATGCTTAAGTGACAGTTGAGCCCTAAGGGAAAAAAAAGTCTATTGAAAAATTCAGAACACTTTTCCCCTTTTTCCCCTAGAACTTTAACAGACAAATGTCTTAACTGGAAAACCTTTTTGTCCTGTAGGGACAAGAATTAAGAAGACTGACTTCAGAAAATAAATACATATCATAACTTGGGATTTTTTTTTAACGTCTATGAAACTGTTTGAACATGTGCAGCTCCAGCTTGCAAGCTGTATTTTTAGCATAGTGTTTTAACATCTTAAGGTTGACATCTGTCATAAGCAAAATTAGACTTTATTGTGGCTAATTTGCCTCAGATTGAACAATGTGACTTTTTTAAGTGTACACATGAAATATACTTTTGACAAATATTGGAGTGGTGTAAAAACACTTGTRTTTTCTATCAGAAAATGCTGTCATAAACACATTGTATATTAATGCAGAATAGCAGTTCTTAGCCTTTTCCCACTTTGGTTTTGTAATATCTCTTTTAACCACCATTTAAAATAGTAATTGATCCAAGATAAACATCCTGCACGTTTCTGGAGTAGTGATTCTTGTTTTGCTTTGATTTACACTCATGCCGTTTGGATTTGGTTGCCAAAGCTCTTTCTTTTTAGGTACCTTTCTCTATTTTAACAAACACTACTATTTGTAAATGGCAGTGCTTACTACTTTTTGGAAGGAATAAGTTTTTTGTTTTCTTTTTGGTGTTTTAGCTGTTTATTTTACTTGTCTGGAATTGATCTGTGTTAGGCCTTTTTAGTCTCTCAGTAGACATTATGCAGTATTAGTGATTACACTGTATTTAATTCACTTTCAAGTTGGAGTCTCTTTGAAGACTGTGAGTGGCTTAGCAAATGAATAACTGAATGCAGAAGCTTTTACTTCCAGATCATGACCAAAAGTAATCACTTCTTTGTAACCTGCATGAGACAGTGCTCTTGATCCTGTCCCTGATGGCAGGGGTTCAATCAGAACAGTCAGAAGGCTTGTAACTGTGGTTGGCGTCTTTATGGGATTGAAGGACTGTGTTAATGTGATGATGGAATTTCTCTCACATGTAAAGAATCACAGAATGTTTTTAGGGTTGGAAGGGACCTTAAAGGTCATCCAGTTCCAACCCCCCTTCCATGGGGAGGGACACCTCCCACCAGACCAGGTTGCTCAAGGCCTTATCCAACCTGGCTTTGAACATTACCAGGGTTGGGGCATCCACAGCCCCTCTGAGCAACCTGTGCCAGTGCCTTACTACCCTCAAAGGAAAGAACTTCTGGATATCTAAGTTAAATTTGCCCTCTTTCAATTTGGACCTGTTAGTCCTTGTCCTGTCACTATAGTTCCAGACAAAGTGTCCCTCTCCAGCTTCTCTGTAGCCCCTTCAGATACTGGAAGTTTCCAATGAGGTCTCTTCTCAACCTTCTTTCTGCAGGCTGAACAGCCCCARTTTTCTCAGCCTCTCTTCCTAGTGAAGGTGCTCCAGTTCTCKTATCAACGTTGTGCCCTCTGGACTTGCTCCAACAGTTCCATGCCCTTCTTACACTGGGGGCCCAGAGCTGCTCAGCACTGCAGGTGGGGTCTCACAAGAGCAGAACAGAGGGGCAGAACCCCTCTCCCTCACCCTGCTGCCCACATTCCTTTGGATGTAACCTGGGTTCCATCAGCTTTCCAGGCTGTGAGTGCTCATTGCCAGCTCGTGCTGAGCTGTTCACCAACCATCACCCCCAAGTCTTTCTCTGCAGGGCTGCTCTCAGTCACTTTTCTGCCTGGCCTGTAGGTATGTCTGGGATTGCTGTGACCCAGGTGTAGGACCTTGCACTTGGCTTTGTTGAGCTTTATGAGGTTTGTATTGACGAACTTTGGTAGAGAACTTAAACACTGTGTTAAACACTAAAATCGGTTACCTAACATACATATATTTCCCTCCTTTATATAAGAAAAAAAGAGGCTGAAAGAAACACTTTAAGAGAATTAGAAGTGAATTAYATACAAAATTTATTTGCATGCAGAAAGACCCTATTATATTTTTTAACCTCACCTTGCTTTTTCTCTTTCCTGAACACCTCTTCAGAAAAGGGTTCAGTGTTTAGGGGAGAGGCTGAAAACTCTAATATGCAAGTACTTATTAAAAGATGCCTTGCAGTTAATTACTGTAGTCCTGAGACAATGATTTTTTAAACAAGTTCTTGTGTCTTCTATTGAATGACAGTTTCTCTTCAAATATGGAAATCATGCATCATATGGTACCTAAGTAACAAGTGATCTTAAAKCAGAAAATTGTTTACGTGTCATTAAGTGTTTTTTTATGAATTGCCTTAAAGGAATAAACTGTAACACTTCTGCAGAACCCTAATGTTCTCTTGTACAGGAATTTCTGTATTACTGTTTTGGTTTTTTGTGTTTTGGGATTTTTTTAAACAATTTCTCAAGTATGTTTGAAATCAGATGAGTGCTCTTCAGGAGGAGTAACGTTATTTGCTACTTAGCTCTGGGTTCTTCCCTTTCATTCTTTGGAGCTACAGCCCACAGACAGTTCTTTTGATTGAMTATGATGCCAAGTCAGTTKGCCACAGGATCCAGCTTTTATTTCYTTCTYGGGGCCTGATTTTGTGAAGTTGCTGAATATGTATATTTGACACTACAGAATATTATATTTCTTGACTAGCTTACGTAATAAATGACATGGCACATTGATTTAAGGAAAGATAGCAGTTGTAGGTACAAGATATTACTTTATCCAGAATGTTTTTCACCTGGCTTCATCTCTGTTCGCTTGTATGCTYATGAGTGGCTGACTGAATGGCTCAAGAATGGGTGTTGAAGTGGGTGTTGTGAGCCAGAGCTGGTGCTTAGTGCTAGTATTGTGGTTAGATTGGCTACCCATGCACTGAACCGTATTTTCTGCAATAATATCCAGTTAACCCACTTCTGATGCTATCATTAAGTACTAAAGTGCTCTGGCATTTTTCTGCTTGTGTACATATTCTGGAACTGTAATAGATGCAGTTGTGATCCTTGTGACTGCTGGTTTTGGCAGGGCAGGATYGCAGGAAACCCAGTAAGATGTGTCTGTGTTTACTTCTCTGTTCCTTCTTAGTAGGGCTTTTTTAGAGCTTTCTGGTTTGCAGATTTTGTGTGCTACAGGTTCATGGTGTTTCTATTCTGTTTTGTTCTGTGCTGCTGATACAAAATTCATATATGGGTTCATGGACGGATTGGATGGAGAGTTGTTTGACTCCAACAGTGTATAAAGTGCAGCAAGAGCAGGGATTGCTGCTCCTGGTACAGCACATTGTGCAAAAATCACTTCTGGCTCTAGATGGAAGGATGGAGAAAYTGAATTAGCCAGTGGAGTGGTAGTGGCAGATGGAACCTTTCCAGTGTAGYCCAACTTAAACTGAATGTTACTCCTCAGTAGAAACTGATTTGGCTTTTGTMGTGTATTCTCTTCTTTCTGGGCATCTTTCTGCTTTGCACCAACCCCAGCACTGACTGACAGCTTTAGCAATACCAGCAGAGAGCCTAGAGCAGTCCTGGGAAGCTTTCCTGAGATTGTTTTAGGGTCACTGAGATAAAACAGCAGCTTGGSTATTGCTCCTCAGACACCTGGTCCTGCTGGCAGTCACTCAGTGCCTCTCGTATCACAAACATTTAACTGCATTAGTCATGAAGGAGTTGTGCACCAAGGGCTGACACTGGGCTGTAGAATCTACAGGACCAAAAGAAAACCTAGTAAGGCTGACTGATGAGAGACAAATCTGACAGAACAGCCCAACTGGCAAAAGAATGAGGAATCAGCCCAGGTGTTAYGATTCAGGATAGAATTGTTCAAAATGTTGGAATTCTTTTACTTTTTGCTTGAAGCAATGATTTTTTTTCCCCTCCACAGTATTATAGTGTGAAAGTTGTCTGTTCTGGGGTGTAAGATTAACTTGGACTCTTGCAGTATAACTCTAGAGGACATTAAAATATGTCAGGCTTCCTCACTAGTCTGAAATAATAACTTTTCCAGGATATTGTTTTTCTTGCTCAGAGTGTTGCTCGTGATGGTTKCTAGAAAAGCAAACAAAAAAGAACAAAAACCAAAAATGAAACCAAAACATTTTCTGAATATTTTGCTTCAAATGACAAACATGTGACTAATTTTCTTCTGTAGTTGTGAAGTTTCTGTTGAGGAAGGTTTCCCATTCTGAATTCAAATCAATAGACCAAACCATCAGATTACAACAAAATATTGCTTTCTTGTGCTGCTCCATAAACCTGCTTCTGTGTTCGTTGCAAGCATAACCTTTATGCTTTTGTTTACATTGTAGAAAACACAGTTCTAGCAATGAGGTTTTTTCATTTAACTCTAAACATCTTTTTATTTTGTTAATTTTAAAATTACTAGGTTTTGCTATGTTATGTTTTAAAAAATATTTTTTGCATACTGCTGCTCATATTTCAATAAACAAAACAAAAACCCCACAGATTCTTCCGATTTCCTTTATCTGTGACTGTCTCAAGTATTATTTTACAAGGGTTAATTTATCACATGTAACTTGCTGCTAATGCCTCTCCATGTCCATATTCCTCCTTGTACAAAGCTGGTCCTCTCATTTTAAAARTAGTTTTTTGTAAAAGCTGCTGTGCTCTCAGAGACTACATTATTTCATTGCTTTATTTTAAAGAGTTTTTTTTTTTCTTGTAGAAGGCATCCAGCCAAAATAGTATCATTTTAATAGTACTTTAAAACATACTTAAATAGGGGTACAAAAAATTATTCATCTGTAGGACTTCAGCAGTCTGATGACTGTTGGGGGTGGTTGGTTTCTTTTTTTACCATTRTGGCAAATCATAACATTTTGGAACAACTCTTACCATGTCTGAATGTGTTGAGCTTTGAACTGCTGATCAACAGCCTTTCAATCCTGCTCACATATCTTGTAACTCATGTACTGCTGCAATAACATGTAAATTTAGAAGTCTAGTGAACTTATATTGGCTTATTTTTAAAGATTAAGAGAAGAAAAATTCCCTTGTTTACCAAAGTACTACAGAAACAGAGGTTGGAAAGGGGTGTGCATATATTAAATCTTTTTTTGGCAGGGTCAGTAGCAAAACACTGAATCAATTCCACCATGACAGATTTTTTTTTTCTTTAGTATAAAACTGAAATGAAAATGTTGATACAACTTTATCTTGTCTGGGGTTCCTGCTTTGGGATTTAATTTTACCAGCAGACTGCCACCTGCAGTAATACTCTGATGTTCTGTCATTTTCTCATTAATAGCTTTTTCCCCTGAATGTGAGAAGCCAATCACTCAAGTAAAAATTTTTTTATTAATCTTTTGATACTGTTTCATATCAGTATCTCCTGTACTATTTTAATGGGTTTGCTTCCAAAACAGTGATTGCTATGAAAATCCTCAGAAAATTGACTGTGATAGCATTACATAGATGATGCAGTCTCATTTGTGAGCAAAATCTCAGATGAAGTTTCAGTGGCTTGTTGGCTATACAGAAGCTTTATATGGATTTTTATGAATAGCTTTGTAAAAAGCAAGCAAACAAAACACTTTGATTATTTAAAGTTTTTAATTTTGTAGTGATGAAGAGGGTCTTTTTTAATCTTATTGGTCTTTCTGGGACAGCTGGAGGTACAGTACCAACTCTATCTAGCCAAAGTAAACCTGAAATCACTTTTTTTCAGACTTAAGTCTTGAAAYTATGCTTCCAACTTGTGATCAGAAATAAGTGTACTTAGATAACATTTCACTTCCCAAAGACAAACCCTGTAAAACTACTTCACTCCCATGGAGGTGAGGGGTTGAAGGATGAGCTTCTGAGGGGGGAAGCTGTTGTGTCATCTCCAGCCATTCTGTGTTCCTTCTCCTTGCAGGGCTCCTTTTTTTCCATAAGACACTGGAAGAAAAACCCCAGCTTTAACCTTTTAAATTAGCAGCTCTTCTGTTCTAAGGCCAGATTAATTTTGTTTATAAATAATTTTTTTTCCATTCTCTTTTTGAGAAATAACTTGGTTGTTTGCAATAATGAAGTTTATTTCCATGACTTAATTAGAAGTGCTGTATATCCAAGTCACGCATTCAGATTTTCTGAAGTCTTTTGCCTTCTTTGAGAAGGTGGGATTTGGTAAAAGACACAGGAAATGGTGTGTTTATTTCAGGGGCAGGAGTGTGACTGGCAGAAGGTGAACAGAAGGGATGGAGAACCCATGTGAGACCCCACAGGTCTCGTGCCCTAATAAAGCAGTTCCGGCAAATGAAGTCACTCCCTGCTGTGCCTGTGGTTGGAAAGTGGATTTTTTTTTGTTAGCTTGAATTCTGAGCCTGGTGAAACAATGTTTTCTACACTTGTTCCATACATTGGCTAAAAGTTGTGTTGGTCCCATCCCTGCAAGCATTCAAAGCCAGATTAGATGGGGCTTGGAGCAGCCTGGCATCGGAAAATGACCCTGCCATGATCTTTAAGGTCCCTTCCGACCCAAACCGTTCTGGGATTTTGAATGTCATTAATAGAACTTCCTTCTGCAACAGAAATCCTTGATCTTGATGAGAGCAACAGAGCACGTGCTTTAAAGCTTTCCCAGAAAATCAATTAACACCCTCAGCATGACAAGTTCTTCTGTAGTATTGCTCCAACCAGGCTGTGGAGAAAAATAGGATTATTCAGGAGTTATTATTGAATGTTTAAATAAAGAGTGAATGCACCATGTGCTCTGTCAGGTTCTGAGGCTTTTGCCAGCACAAATTCTTAGACCCAACTCATTATGGCTGGTAGCTGAAAACAAGCTCTCCCTACTTAAAAATAAATAAGAAATGCCTGCTTTGATAAAACTTGATTTATTCAAAAAGGGCTGAGAGAAACACACTTGCATTTATTGTTGCTTTCTACATTAGAGTAACTGCTTGGAATTACACCAGTTAAATTTGGTTGAGAGGAAATATCGGCCACATATCAAGGAATAAAATACTGAAATCTGTTATGTAGTAGTTTAGCTTTCTTGAGCAAAACAAAACATGGTAACGAAGACAATTTGACACAGAAGTGTTCTCAACTGTGCAATTTTGGGGTTAAAAAAAAGAAAAAGCTTGCAAACAGACTTCCATATATACATATTTTGTCTGTGCTCAAGTGCAAGCCTGTATGTGTGTGTAATTGCATTGTAAAATCTCATTTGGATGAAATAAGTTYTATACACATATATACACACAGCTCCTCTGTTGTACCCTGCAGGTCAAGAACAGGTGTAGGAGCACAGCATCTGACACCACTTTGAATTTCCATTTTGGATGATCTAATAGCCAAAACTGCAGCTAAAATAGGATTTAGGACTGGGTGGTTCTGGATAGTTGCAATTCTCTTGTATGTTGAGCCATTGGGTTTAAAAAAAATAAAATTTGAAAAAACAACAAACAACAAAACAAAAAAACCCACAAACCCTTTGCCCACTGTTTGTGGGAATTACAGACAACCTTCCAGAGTTTGTGCAGCTTGATCCATAATTGTGCTGTAACTGCAAGTTTACAAGAAACCAGCATCCACAAAATAACGCGTCAGCTATCAGTGTTAAGCAGAAGCTTTTASAACAAAATCAGATAGTTAATAATTTAAAATGGTGTGGTTTGCCAGTGACCAGTGTTGAATCAAGCTGTTCTCATATTGATAATTCATGCTTCTAATCGGGCTAGGTTTAGATGAAGAACAAGGAGTGGGGATACTGCGCGGTAAAGCAACGTATCCTGTAAAGCTGGTTTTTTTATGGCTTTCAGAACTTACCCATTTTTTGTGCTATGCTCACCCCTTTCATTAGTTTACACAATATTAGATATATTCATTTTCCCCTTCTCCCTATCCTGATTGTTTTGGTTTCATGCTGTGGCAAATAATTTCCTTTGTAGCTTATGGAAGTTGAAAACAAATTCCTTAGGTAACAAGTGTTTCACATAAGTAGTAACTTAAAACTTGCTCGATGACGCATTCAAACATAAAAAACACCCTTAACAGAATGACAATCAAAAGTCAAAATAAACATTTATCACTTTCTCGTCCTGCTTGGCAGGCCTCCCACGGCATCACCATGCAGTTCCAGCAGCAGCTGGGAGAAATGGGTCTGGAAAGTAAACTCATCTAAGTGTGGAGCTGTTAGGTAAATACACTGGTTTTTTACATTTGACGCTTGGTTTCATAAACATGGGGGAAMAAGCTCCACCAGATGCCCAAATCAGAGATTGTTGTTAATACAATTATCCTTCTATGGACACTGAATGGGTGGATGATGACATTTGCATACACACATAGCTTAATCTGGAATCACGGGGCAATTTTTTTTGCAACAACTGTATAAATTTGCTAAAGCATTCTCTTCAGTTCATAACAGCTTTTTATTTACAGCTACTCAGATTGGCATACAGCACAATTTTCATCAATCTCCTCCTGCCCYTTACTCTAAAGGGGGTCACATCCGTGCCCTGGCACATGGCACGAACTCTTTATTGCACAGGCTTTCTGGTGCCTGCTCCTGCTGGAATGAGAAGTGTCAGACAGCTTGTGTCCTCCACGGGTTCCTCGCTTCCCTGAGCGATCTGTCGTAAGGAAGAGTAGCAAAAAAAGAATTTTTCAGCTGGCAGTTTATGAAGAACACTATGAATGTCACAGTCAAGAACAGAAAGAAAAACAGAATKATGTAAGTCACCAGGTCGGGCTTATTTATTTCCCCTTCTTTTAACACCCTGGCTGTCGACATGTAAAGAGCTGAGGAGCTCACGGGTCTCGGAGTGCTGCTCAGGTAGGGCGTGTTGGTCTGAATGATTAGGTGAGCTTCAGTGGCACTGGTTGAATTGAGCAATTCACTATACATGTTCTTGCTGAAATTTCCTCCACAGTAGAAGTAAAGCAGGAGGGCAAACGCAGTCAGTCTTTGGCATAGGAAAGAAATAATGTTCCTGCTTGTAAAAGGCTGCAAACCAGCCGCATGTTGTCTGAAACAAATTAATTGACCTGCATGGCTCAGTGACTTTCTTTTAAATCTTCTTGGCTCATAGTTACAGCATTTATCCACAAATATTAATCAAAAATTATAGAGGTACCTCGTGTCCTGGCCCTGGTTCCCCCAGCACGCCTGGTTTGGGGAGATGCTCTGGTTCATGCGCTGGTCAGCCGGGACGTGCCGGGAGCGCGCTGGGAGCTCCGTGCGCCGCTCCACCTGCATGGGCTTGGGAAGA